TTTCTTCTCTTTTTTTAATTATATTCTCCGTTCCATTTGAGACGAGTTCTATTTATTAATTGATTTTGAGTTGGCTTGAATATGAGGAGGCCAGGAAGGGAGAGATGAGTGCGTAGAGTAAAAGAAGAAAAAAATAACGGAATAAATAAATAAAAGTCAAGTAGCTAGAAAGCGGCCCCAGCTAGCAGTAGGAAGAGGACAGTTTTATGATTAATAGGAGTTTGACGCATTAATTAATTATCAAAATTGTGATGATCACGTGTTTACTTTTTGGTGCCGCGTGAGAATCAAATTCGCTCGATGCCTCCTCCTCCTCAAATCTTTCCAGAACTTTGGACCGGACCGCCAAAGCCTCCTGTGTGGATGGTTCCGGGATTTTCTGGCCCATCACAAATTTCTCTCTCTTTCCGTTCATATTCCCTTCTTTGATTTAGATTTTTAAATTTGCGGTGAGAAATTAATAAGAGTCAATTGACTACCCATGCCATTGAAAGGGGTAGGACAATTTTCAACAAGTGGCCTCTATGTATCGGTAGCTTTATAGTCTCCGAGCAGAAAATTATGGGTGAAGCTACGGGGCTGTTTGTTTTGTTGTGACATTTTGTCAGAAAATGTCAGCTTTCCACCCAAAAAACCCCTGTTTTTTTGGGTGAAAAGCTGACATTTTCTGACAAAATGTCAACTTTCCACCCTTAAAAAAATTACCCAAACGCGCCCTATAGCTATAATTTGTGAAAAGATATTGGACGGAGAGGAGAGCCTCTTCAATTAGTTGGCAATTGGAAAGGGTCCAATTATCCGAAAATATGCACCATTGGTTCATATTTCAAGGGATGGGGTAAGCTCACGTAGAAATTCCACTATCATTTTGAAAATAACTAATGCCTTAAAAACCACTATTATGGAAAAAAAAACAACCACTTTTGTGATTTTGGAAATCTTACGTGGCCTCGTTCTATCCTTTCAAGCATTGATAGACGATAATGATTAGGATGGTTAGATTCCCTCTGGTCACCGTCTAATTAAAGAGGATCCGGATCAAAAGATAATTGTGCTCTAGTTACGGCTATTCGTTTCCTTACAGAGTTGTAGTAATAAGAAATAAATAGGTATACCTTAAACTGCAATTTGTTATTGGCAAACGATAAATTACAAATGCAGACGTAACTTTTTTTTTTTTTTTTTTTTTTAAT